CATGCATTACATAATTGTATTAGACTTGAAATAATATTATGGAAATGTCCGTTGGAGGCTTCCTGCAATATCTATCTCGTGCGAATAAGGGTGGTCGTAGAAGTAAAAGGTAAGTCACCCAAGTTGTCTAATCAAAGTGCCTTCCGCACATACACCATAAAAATTCTAAGAAACTCAGAAGCACAACTGCGTCCAGGATTCAAAACAACTACCGTCATGTATCCAGCGCTGAATCTGCCTTTTGGAAATTAACAAAAACGTTGACGTTCTTTCAAATTCACTTCCATGGCCTTTTTAACGTTTCTTGTGGAGGACAGAAGAGAAGTGTAGGATACCATGTTGGGAGAGAAACCTTTCGCAACGTCTTTGAAAGAAGCGCGTGCGGTGGCATAAACTTCATTGCTAGTGACCTGAGTGGACTATTAAGACCTTCTCTTGTGAGCCAAAAACATGCGCTAAAATGAAGTTCTGTTTGCATCATTGCTCTCCGCTGGTTTCAGATGCCGTATACTTCTCGGCTTGAATATATGCCACAGCTGTTCCCATATCAGCTGCGGGCAACTGTATGATGAGTGGGAGAATGGGCGTTGCATTTATAACTTTTTCCTTACCGTCAAAGTGAAACGCCTTCTACGACGTCATTATGAGCAGGTGGTTGCACCTCACGTCGCTAGTGGTTCGATCGATGAGAAGGTAGGTGAGCTTGAGGATATGCCAACTTTGAAGCAGTAAAGGTGGTTACATTTTTTCCGCTTGGGTATCGATGAAAATCTGTTCTCAATTTCAGCGTCTCTGGTCAACCATCTCAATTGCAACCATGGACGAAGTCTATACTTGTCGGGTGGCTGGATTCCGAAACCGCGACGAATACTACACTGCCTGCGAATCGTTGCCACATCTCCACAAAATTCGAGTGCCAACGATTTTCCTATTCGCCAAAGACGACCCCATACTCCCGAAATGCCTGTGGGAACCAGTGAAGGTAAATGTCATGTTGTCAGATTCGAGCCCTACCATAACACGTCTAATTGATAGCCTCCTCAAATACCCCGTCTGCCGACAAGACTCTCAGGCAAGCGATGGGCATGAAAAGCCGCATGCATGAAAACGTGGGATGCTCCAGGGGTGCAGAATACGAATCGGTAGCAGGCTTCGGCGGTGAAGATATATGCAGGTCTCGTCAGCACTTAATCTGGCGGGTTATTAAGTTTTTCGCGCAATATAGGTTGAAAACATATCTTTGTAGCCAGATCAGAGAACAGAACGAAC